ACCCACACTATCTGTATCAGATCTGCCTAAAATAGCATCACATTCTTAGTTCCGGTTATGGCATCATCTAGGAATGAAAACAGAATCTTGTTAGATCATTTGCTTGGGTCTACGATTTTATTTTGGATCTCTATTCTTATTCTAAAAAGGGCCACTTAATTTCCTTCTTGGGAATTTGCTTCTTCAGTTTCTATCCAAAGAGAAAACAGAACTTATGTTCATCCGAGAGGTGTACAGTCGTACTGGCCCAGCTCAGAAAATAGAGAGCATAGCAGAGCTGCCTGTGAGACAGATAGGTGCCATGTACAATCCACAGAGCTCCCTCACCATCCTAGAGGCCTGCAATTCTCAGAGGATCTTCCTGTGGGTTAATACTTGAGATGCTTATGGAGGGAGGAACTGGGTCCCTGGGATGTGAGGGGAGGAAGTCACCCATGCCTTTATGAAAGATGCTTCTAGCATCCCACACATGGTCGGCACGTCCTGATGCTACGTCAGAAATTGAGTATAAAAGGCAGATGCTTCTGACAGCACCTTAGTCTACCTGTCTCCTGAGTGATCTGCTGCAGTTCCTGAACCAGGTAGAGTACTTCTCAGAACCAGGATGAGCACTTGGTGCTGGTGTTTTGGGCAGAAAGAGCCCCTGTGTGGAAGCTGAGGCCATTCTAGAAGAAAGACAAGGGGAAAAGAGGATTTTGGAAGGGAGGGTTCTTCTGGAAGGGGATGGTGGAAGGTAGGTGAAGGGAATGAGGGCCTGGTGTCTTTCTGAAGTTCCAAGGAATTCACTTGAAAAGATGGAGTTACTAAGTGGAAATCATTCATATAGTTCTTGTTACTGGTCTTGGGAGACTGGGTTTTAAAAATCTGGTCATCTTAGGCCGGGTGCGGTGTCGCATGCCTGTACCTGTAATCCCAGCACTTTGGGAGGCCAAAGCAGGCAGATCACGAGGTCAGGAGTTCGAGACCAGCCTGACCAACATGGTGAAACCCTGTCTAAACTAAAAGTACAAAAATTAGCTGGGCATGGTGGTGTGTAGCTGGGAATAGTCCCAGCTACTCAGGAGGCTCAGGCAGGAGAATTGCATGAATCTGGGAGGCACAGGTTGCAGTGAGCTAAGATCGCACCACTGCACTCCAGCCTGGTAACAGAGTGAGTCTCAAAAAAAAACAAAACAAATAAATAAAAATAAAAATCTGGTCATCTTAGAGATAAAGTCTTTTGAAATTATAGTTCAATTTTAAAGTCAAGGAAGTGACCTTGGGTTTGTATTGTTTTTCAGCTTTATTCAGCTCCTACAGAGATGTCCTGCCAGCAGAGCCAGCAGCAGTGCCAGCCTCCTCCCAAATGTACCCGTAAATGCCCACCCAAGTGTACTCCTAAGTGTCCTCCCAAGTGTCCCCCAAAATGCCCTCCCCAGTGCCCAGCCCCATGTCCACCTCCAGTCTCTTCTTGTTGTGGCTCCAGCTCTGGGGGCTGCTGCAGCTCTGGCGGGGGTGGCTGCTGCCTGAGCCACCACAGGCCCCGCCGGTCCCTCCGACGCAGACCTCAGAGCTCCAGCTGCTGTGGCAGTGGCAGTGGCAGTGGCAGTGGCCAGCAGTCTGGGGGTTCCAGCTGCTGCCACAGCTCCGGGGGCTCCGGCTGCTGCCACAGCTCCGGGAGCTCTGGCTGCTGCCACAGCTCTGGGGGCTGCTGCTGACCTGGGCCATGAGGAGCACAGAGGGACAGCACAGAGGGCAGAGCCCAGGTGCCGAAGATCTGAGTCAGCCCGAGGCTTCTTTTCTCTCATTTCCCACGGCAGGTCTTCTGAAATGCTTTGAGTTCCCTCCTTTATCCTGCCCACGTTCCCTCCACTGTGGGGTTGAGGCCTAGCCTGTGCTATTCTCTGGCCTGGTTTTCCCTCTCAGATGTAGTTTTTTGGCAAAGTAGGTGTTGAAACTCAGTTACGATGCTATATTCCCTGTAACAATAAAGCTTTTTATTCCTGATATCACTGCCTTCTGATCACATTGTTTTGCCTCTCCCAGCCCCTACCTGCTGCACCAAGCCGTCTTCCCTTCCCTTCTCTTGGGTGCAAGTGAACATTCTACAAACTTGTTTAAAGAAGCACATTTTGGTAGTGAAGTCACTTAGGCTTCTGGAAAACAATATTTCCTGCTATGCTCTGGATTCTGGAACTTTAAGCTTGAAGGAAAGAGTCAAGTGTGAGATCATCACACCAGACACATGATTGTGTGAGGATAGCCAGGAATGAGTCTGCAGAGAAGAGAATGGTTGTACTCAGAAGGGTCACGTTCTGAGAGGGTTTCCTTCAAGCATGGGTCACGGTTTGAAAAATTGCTTGTCCCCTATTCATGGGGAATAAGATTGCCTGAAGTGCTCATCCTGGGCTCCAATACACGGACTCTCCTTACTGTTCTGATTATTTTGGTCCCCGTGTTTCCGTCCGTTGGCTAGAGGGAGAGCTGGGTGGGCGAGATAGTTTCTGGGGGAGTGAGTTTAGGAGGCAGGTATGAAATGTCTGAGCACGTATTCCCTGCATACTGAAATCCTGGACTGGAGTCCGAGTAAAGAACTGAGAAAAACACCCTCCTCTGCAAAGACTGTCTCTATGTGGTTGGCGTGTGTGTGTTTGTGTGTGTGTATTTGTGTGTGGTTGGTATGTATTTGTGTGTGTGTGCGTTTGTGTGTGTGTGCGGTTGGTGTGTGTGTTTGTGTGTGTTTGTATTTGTGTGTGTGGCTGGCGTGTGTGTGTATTTGTGTGTGTGTGTTTGTGTGCGTGTGTTTGGGTGTGTGGTTGTTTGTGTGTTTGTGTGTGTGTGGTTGGTGTGTGTGTTTGTGTGTGTTTGTATTTGTGTGTGTGGCTGGAGTGTGTGTGTTTGTGTGCGTGTGTTTGTGTGTGGTTGATGTGTTTGTATTTATGTGTGTTTGTGTATGTGTGTGTGTTTGCATTTGTGTGTGTGTGGCTGGCATGTGTGTGTATTTGTGTGTTTGTGTGTGTTTGTGTGCGTGTGTTTGGGTGTGTGGTTGATGTGTTTGTGTGTTTGTGTGTGTGGTTGGTGTGTTTGTGTGTGTTTGTATTTGTGTGTGTGTGGCTGGCGTGTGTGTGTGTTTGTGTGTGGCTGGTGTGTGTGTGTATTTGTGTGTTTGTGTGTGTGTGCGTGTTTGGGTGTGTGGTTGATGTGTTTGTGTGTTTGTGTGTGTGTGGTTGGTGTGTGTGTGTGTGGCTGGCGTGTGTGTGTTTGTGTGTGGCTGGTGTGTGTGTTTGTGTGTATTTGTGTGTTAGTGTGTATTTGTGTGTGTGTGTTTGTATTTGTGTGTGTGTGGCTGGTGTGTGTGTGTATTTGTGTGTGTTTGTGTGCATGTGTTGGGGTGTGTGGTTGATGTTTGTGTGTTTGTGTGTGTGGTTGGTGTGTGTTTGTGTGTGTTTGTATTTGTGTGTTTGTGTGCGTGTGTTGGGGTGTGGTTGGTGTGTGTGTTTGTGTGTATTTGTGTGTGTGTTTGTATTTGTGTGTGTGTGTGTGTGGCTGGCGTGTGTATTTGTGTTTGTGTGTGTGTGTTTGGGTATGTGGTTGATGTGTTTGTGTGTGGGTGTGTGTGCATAGTGAGAGGTGGTAAGAGTATGGGGTTTTGTCACTGTGTTGGGTTTTCCAAGTAACATTTCTTTAGGAATGGGCTGGTTCCTTCAGGATATACTCACACTAGAAAAGTTAATTCCAAATTAGCCTTTTATATACAAGATAAACAATGGATGCCTCCTTTGATAAGAGTTAACAACGATACATAAAGTACATTAGTTTATGAGATCATAGCATGTCCACAGAATGAGCAGGCACTTTCCCAGATCATCATGCTGATTCCTACCAAACATTCTTCACTCTTTTTTTTTTTTAAAGAACTTTACCCATTTCCACCGAGGAGATCCTGCCTCTGTCTTGTCATTTCATTACTTCCCTCTCTGTTCCAATATTGACTGCACTTTTTGGAATGTCTCACCTATACTCACCAACAGGTGCCCTAGGTACTGGGAACCTGTTAATCAGGCTCTAAATCGATGTTAGATGAAACTGGTATCTTTTGTGACTTATCTTTCCTTGCTAATCCCCTCGTGCCGCTCCCTGTTCACTCACCCCTAAACCTGTCTCTCACCCTTAATTCTTGAATTCTCAGTCTTGGACTTTTGAGTATAGTTCACATTCATAGTTGTGGGCAATTGCACTGATTAAGAAGCAGTTCTGAAGTTGACTGCCACAGTATCCTTCAATTTTTAAAAATTAGTTATTCCAAAAACACTGTATATCATGCACACTTTGGACCTTTGGAAAGAACTTTCTCTTATTTTCCTTCTTTCCCTCCCTCTTTTCTTCTTCCTTTCCCATCTTCTTTCTTTTCTTTTGCAGTGGGTAGTGCCCCTAGGGAGAACCTATCTTCAAAGGGAGGTGGGTGGTTGCGGGTGGGATAAGGAGCAGACATCCCCCAGGCTGACTTGCCTTTTTGCAGTTGGGCCACCGTCCTGCACACATTTTTCTCTTAGTCATACTGAGCTGCATTATGGGGATATGGTAACCTGACTACACTCACAACTTTTCCAGCATTATGGTTCCTTAACTTTGCCTATGATTTCCTTCCTGTCTCCAGTGACAGAGAGAAATCACCCCTGGGCTTCCTACATATGCATCTCTGTTATCATCTTCACTCACCGCATCTTGAAGCATATGGATGAAACCCAGCAGGCTTATCACATAGCTTGTGGTCTGCCCTGGGGAGCCAAGGACCAAGAGCCAGAGAGATGAGAATCAAGATAACAAATAGGTGAACTCCCACCTACCAAGTAGATGACCACACAGGAACGGATGTGTGGGCAAGTGGAGCCGTGTGTGTGTGTGTGTGTGTGTGTGTGTGTGTGTGTATTGCAGACATGAGCAGAAGGGGTTCCAGACTTCCCTTCCTTTGAGCCCCCATGCCTTCTGTTAGCATTCACACAGCCTCCCAGCTATGAACAGTGCCCTATTTGGAAAGTAAACATGCCATAGCAATCCTGGCACCTCTGCGAAGTGACTTGGATACACACGTGCACCACCTACAGTGCTACCTGAGTGATGAATGTCTCTGGGATGTGAGCGTCAGCTGAGCATGTCTGTTGGGAAATGGGCCCCTCCCAAGGGCCCCAACCTGACCCTCTTTGATATATAAAAGGTTCTGGCTGGGCACTGCTCAATCCATTGCCTAGCAGGTGGCTCATTCCAGTTGGAGAACATAGAGAGTCTTCCAGCGGAGCCAAGGTCTGGTAAGTCTCCTAGCAGGGTCTTGGGGAGAGGATGGGAGGAGTTGAGGGCACAGGGGAGGAGAAAACAGAACAAAGGCAGCAGATAGATGTGGAATGGGAGCGCTGCAAGGCACCTCAGCTTCAAGTGATCCAACCTTTCAAGGCACTAATAAGGGCATAAAGGCAATACAGGAGGCGGCTTTTGCAAGGGTACACAGCAAGTCCCTAGAAGAGCTGTGACTAGAACCCGGGTCTTCTGGCTCCCTGGACGGGTTTCTTTCTTTCCTTTTCTTTGAGACGGAGTTTTGCTCTTGTTACCCAGGCAATGGTGCGATCTCGGCTCACCGCAACCTCCGCCTCCCGGGTTCAGGCAATTCTCCTGCCTCAGCCTCCTGAGTATCTGGGATTATAGGCATGCACCACCATGCCCGGCTAATTTTTTGTATTTTTAGTAGAGACGGGGTTTCACCACGTTGACCAGGATGGTCTCGATCTCTTGACCTCGTGATCCACCCGCCTCGGCCTCCCAAAGTGCTGGGATTACAGGCTTGAGCCACCGTGGACGGGTTTATTTCTATTAGCACAACTCTTCTTTTCCCATGTGTTTGTGGGGCATGAGACGCATAGGCAAGAGAGGATGAGCAGGACATGCTTCTGGCCGGTGGATTCTTTAGAACCAGCAGGTAGGGATGCGTGTGGTACTTGGGTGTTTTCTAAGTGATGGGGTGTTTATACAATGCTAGCAACTAGGAAATATCATCGAAGGTCGGTAGCAAAGTAAAATGAGAGACGAAAAAAGCCAGGTGGAGATTCTGGACTGGATCACACAGATAGGTTGCGGTACTATGCTATTTTCCACCGCGGGGAACTTGAGCGGTCCTCTTCTAGTCAGAGAAAATGGAAAAGTATCGATTATTTGCATAGACTGTGTCCTGCTCTGAGCATGTTTAACTCCTTGGAAGCACCTGCTTGGATTTGTATTTTTAAATACGCTCTTTCTGGGTGCTTCCCCCACTCCTTGCCCCAGGCCAGGCTGACTTTCACACTAAACCGAATCTCAAAAGACCAGACAGAGATCCACTGGCGGAAAGAAAAGCCGGCTCGCCTTTGAAAGGCTGTCTTTCTTCCAGGTTCGTCGTGAGGAGCTCCGCGATGTCTTCTCAGCAGAGCGCCGCTTCCGCCAAAGGCTTTTCCAAGGGGTCGTCCCAGGGCCCGGCTCCGTGCCCAGCCCCGGCGCCCACCCCGGCGCCCGCCTCCTCCTCCTCCTGCTGCGGGGGCGGCTGCTGCGGCTCGGACGGGGGCTGCTGCGGCTCCGACGGGGGCTGCTGTGGCTCCAGCTCCACCAGCTGCTGCTGCTTCCCAAGGAGGCGCCGCCGGCAGCGGAGTCGCGGCTGCTGCTGCTGCGGGGGCGGCAGCCAGAGGTCCCAGCGCTCCAACAACCAGGGCTCTGGCTGCTGCTCCGGCTGCTGAGGGGCCCGCAGCACCCTGCGCTGCGCTAGACAAACCCGCCCAGCCCTGAGCGGGCCCGCCCCGCCGTGGCTCCCACGCGGGGCTGGGCCTCGGAGTTTGCCCCGTAAAGCGAATTGCACTTTGATGTTCAGAAATCCACTCTGTTCTCAGCCACGGAAGACTCCCTGACCCTCATGTGATTTTTCTCCCTGGGGATTCGAGAGCCGTGGGTGGGACATTGGACCCTACTGTCTGCACGGGTTTGCATACAGCAGGTGCTCGGTAAATGTCTACTGGTTCCATTGTCCTCTGAAGATGTCATAATAAAGCTTCTACCTCCTGAGAACGCCTTGTCTTATTTGTTCTTCATTCGTTTTTCCCCGCAGTTTGAAAGGCTTGAAATGTTTGTGAAAGGCAGAAAACTATAATACATGCCGGAATGAAAAGGTGGCTTTCTGATCATTACAGTAGCAGCGATTACATATTGACTGTTTCGAGTATTTTTTTTTTTTTCTTTTTTTTTTTTTGAGACGGAGTTTCACTCTCGTTACCCAGGCTGGAGTGCAATGGCGCAATCTCGGCTCACCGCAACCTCCGCCTCCTGGGTTCAGGCAATTCCCCTGCCTCAGCCTCCCAAGTAGCTGGGATTACAGGCACGCGCCACCATGCCCAGCTAATTTTTTGTATTTTTAGTAGAGACGGGGTCTCACCATGTTGACCAGGATGGTCTCGATCTCCTGACCTCGTGATCCACCCACCTTGGCCTCCCAAAGTGCTGGGATTACAGGCGTGAGCCACTGTTTCGAGTATTTTAAGGACTTTATGTGCCACCATATGATTCTCATAATGACTTGCTAGTAAAATGCTGTTATACCCATTTTACAGAAGAGAAACTGAGGTTAAGCAACTTGCTCAAAATCACCCAGCCAGTATAAGATGAATACAGGACATCTGATTCCAGGGCTTCATTGCTCTGCTTCGTCCTTACCAGGGCTCGTTGCTCTGCTTCGTCCTTACCAGGGCTTCCCAAGCCTTACCACTGAAGCGCTTGTCCTCCTGACCATCAGGTCCAGGCAGCGGTGTGGCAAAAGTTTGTTTTGGCAACTCTTGGGGGCTTTGGAATCAAGCCAACTGTCTTTTTTTTTTTTTTTTTTTTTCTGCCATGAAAGATTATTGACCCACTGCTTTGCTTGCTGGGGAGAAACTGTTTCCTAAGATGAGCCTTCCAGGAAACTGGAAGCTGCCCTCTCCAGGTCTCACTTGTGCAGCCGAAGCATGACCAAGAGCCATGGGTTTCTGGGAATCTCTGTGATGCAACATGTGTGCTCGGAAACGTGGAGCTTTCATTCTCTAGAGATGGTGGCTGTGGCAGTGGCAGCCGCAGTGGAGGGGTCATCTTGCCTAGGTCAGAAACCTGTCCCTGTGGACACAGATGTTATCCACTCATTTCCGGCATGAGGAAACAGGAGACCAACATCCTCTGCATGATGTCTGCTGCGTTTGGAAGGAAGAGATAATAATGGTGATAATGAGAGTAACAGTAGTTACCACTTATTTGGCGCTAACTTTATCTCAGGCACAAGGCAAGACATTTTACATATATTATCTCACTTCATCTTCTCAGTAATCTAAAAATATAGACATTCACTTCACCACTTTCTATATGTGAGGAAATGGGTTTAGACAGTTCCAATGATTTGGCTGGAATCACAGAGGTAGTGAATGTCCAAAGCACCCAGATGGTGAGTGAGGCAGAAGAGACTCAAACCGGAATGTGTGTCTCCAAAATCATGCCCTCACACTCAAAGAGTCATGCTCTGCTGTCTTAGAAATCACCACCACCCAGGGAAGGGACACTTGAGCCTCTGGACACACCCAGGTTCTCAGAAAATTGCAGCTCAGCTTCTTGGGTGCTGCTCCCTTGGTGACCCCATGAGTGGAGAGCTCTGTCATGGCATCCACCCGGCAGCTGGTGGCTGAGGGTGTCTGCTCAAAGGTGAGGTCGAAAATGCTCTACTGATTCATCCAGGATGTTTGAAGTTGAGGCCAAATGACTCCCTTCCAGGGAGGCTCTGGAGGGCAGTCCTGCTCTGCCTGGGAGTGGCCCTTCCTTCCATGTCTGAGATTCTGTGATTTCCAGTGGGAGGTGATTTGTGGAGGCTGTTTACAAACAGATGATATCACCCATGGACTTGCCTCTCCACACCAGTGATATGTGCTGAAATAGCAAGCCCCGGGATTGGTGGGCAGCGGGCAGGAAGGAAGAACTGTGGGCAGGAAATCAGAACAGACACACAGCAAAGCTAATCTGAGAGCGAGGGCTCAACTTGAAGAAGGAAGTCGAAGCCTGAGCTCTGGCAAAGAGAGGTGATGAGTCATGGACAGACACGTGAGTCCAAATAGGAACACAGGCCCTGTACACCAGGCATTGGAGTCTCATGTCAAATGTCTGGCCCTGAGGATGGCAGTACCTCCATGCTCACCTGCTGCTAAAACCCAGTGGGCCAGGACACATAGACTTTGAGGAGAGACATTGGAGTATATTAAGAATAGTTTTATTTTAGAAACCGAGAAAGCGACTTTGGATGGTCTAGAGCTCTATGCTCATGGCCCTGCAAGCTCTTCTGATTCCCAGCAGTAGGTAAAGCTGTATGTGTGGCCCAGGCACTCTCTGTGAGGTGATGGTGGTGGGTGCTGAGCCTGTGCGAAATTTGGCAACGTGAAGACCTACTCAAAGGTCATCACCTGGCACATGTGACAGGCAGAATTGGGTTTCTTATTATCTCTGGAATAAATGGACATTATTGTTAAATATGTTTTATCCATGATGGCTCCAACTTCAGCTTAAATTATGTTATTATAATGGTAATAATAACAATTGATATTTATGTAGCATTTAGCGTTTATGAGGCATTTTCACATATATTATCTCTTTCATAATCTGTAACATAAGTATCACCATCTCTGTTTCACATGTTTAACATGATTATGGAGGGACTCCTAGAGTTTAAGCAACCCACCTGAGGCTATCCAGCTGGCATGTGCGATCTCTGTCTGGACCAGGCCTTCTAATGCCCGCTAAGAAAGCCAAGAGCCATTTCTGAATATTCACTGAGAAAATTGAATAATGGCACCTACTTGATTATTTAGGGAGAGTGCTGTATTCACCATTGCATCCCTAGCCTCATGGCAGGTACATATTAAGGGTCTGTAAATAAATGATTGTTTATTAGGGCATAATGTGTAAGGCATTGTGCTAAAGAATCCCAGAGAGATGTATGAAAGCATTTCTGGGCCCTAAGGAGTTTATAGTCTGATTCAGGAACTGTGGTAAATAAATACTCATACGAGATGCAAACGATAACTCAGATCCAAAATGCAAAAAATGCCACAAGCAGAACACGGCATAGGCAACTGCTCTAGGGAGTCAACTGAATTTAGATAAGGCATTGTGATAGAACTTTCAATGAGGGCAAGTTCCTGTGGACTGGATTATTTATAAGACTTCAGGGGAAGAAGGATCTGGGGTGGGTGTGAGGGACGGAAACACGTCAGAGAGGCAGAGGTTCATTCATTCATTCATGTATTTGTTCAACTCAATCAGACACTGTCTGTGATTCTGGGACAGAACCAGAAATAAGACCAAGACCCTATTGGCATGGACCTCACTTTCCGGAGTGAAGACAGACAAGAAAGTAAGCAAGGAAGTCAGGTTGTGTCACACTGTGAAACGTGTTGTGATGAAAACAGAGAAAATAAGGATATAAACATTAACTAGAGGTATATGGGGATTTTAGATAGTGCTAGGCAAGGCCTCTCTGAAGACATCTTATTTGAGCAGAGGAAACGTGAGCTATGGCACAGAGCAGGGAAGCCCATGGTTACAGGGTTCCTGCATCCACGGCAGCCTAGGGCTGCTGGTTTTTGAGGTGTGTTTTCAGTTACATTGGCTCCACTAGAGAGTTTCACTACTAGGAAAGTAACTTGGAATTCCAGCTTCTTGGCAGAAAGATTTACTAGTGAGATTGATCGTATGCTATGAGCTTGGCCATATTTCACTGGATCCTTACGAGTCTCCCACAAGGCAAGTTTTCCTCACAGTTTGTTAAGGAAACTGGAAGATAAAGCTGTTAGGTAGCCTTCTTAGGATTTCCAAGCTTGTAATGGAAAGAACAAGATTTTGGACTGGAGGTGTTTGCCTCCGAAGTCAATGTTCTGAACATAGTGCTGTAGTCTGCTTTTTTTTTTTTTTTTAAGAAAAAAAAAAGAAAGAAAGGGAAAAAGAGAGAAAGAAGAAAAAAAAGAATGAAAGAAAGAAAGAGGGAGAGAGAACGGGAATCTTGCTCTATTGCCCAGGCTAGAATGCAGTCTAAAAATGGGTATTAAAAACCTCTTTTATGCCAATAAATGTGCTTAACAATGGAGGCAGGAAGGAATGAGGGAGGAAAATAACAAACAAGCAGCCAACCAATGTTTCATTTAAACCTATGAAATGCTATGCAATTACTGAGGGGTGATTTACTTCCAATTATGTGGTCACCTTTAGAGTAGGTGTGATGTGATACTAAGAAAAATGTATGTTTTGTGGATTTGCGGTACAGAGTTCTGTAAATGTTTATTAAGTTTACTTATTTCCAGGACTGGGTTCAAGTCCTGGATAACCTTGTTAATTTTCTGTCTCATTGATCTGTCTAATATTGACAATGTGATGTTAAAGTCTCCCACTATTATTATGTGGGAGTCTAAGTCTCTTTGTAAGTCATTAAGAACTTGCCTTATGTATCTGGGTGCTCCTGTATTGGGTACGTATATATTTAGGATCGTTAACTCTTCTTGTTGCATTGATCCTTTTACTATTATGTAATGTCCTTCTTTGTCTCTTTTGGTCTTTGTTGCTTTAAAGTCTATTTTATCAGAGATAAGAATTGCAACTCCTGCTTTTTTTTTTCCCCCTCCATTTGGTTGGTAAATCTTCCTCCATCCCTTTGTTTTAAGTCTTTGTGTATCCTTGCATATGAAATGGGTCTGGATGCAGCATACCAATGGGTTTTGGCTTTTTATCCAATTTGCCTGTGTCTTTTGATTAGGGCATTTAGTCCATTTAAATTTGGGATTGATATTGATATATGTGAGTTTAATGCTGCCATTTAATGCTATCTGGCTGTTTTGCCCATTAGTTGATGTAAATTCTTCATTATGGTGATGCTCTTTACCTTTTGGTATGTTTTTGGAATGGCTAATACTAGTTGTTCCTTTCTATGTGTAATGCTTCTTTCAGAAGCTCTTGTAAAGCAGGCCTGGTGGTGATGAAATCTCTGAGTATTTGCTTGTTTGCAAAAAATTTTT